TTCCAATTGCTGAGGCATACGGCACCTTCACCATGTGTGCACGTTCTTCCTCTGTCTTTGGTGATTGGTCTTTGGAGAGTCTGAAATGAACACCTAAAGGTGTACTTACTGGTTAGCATCTTGCATGTTGAACCTGGAGAGTACTTTGTTGATGTACTCAGCCTGCGATAACATCAAAGTCCCCGACTTTGTGTCTCTCTTGATCCTCATCCCAAGAATCTGCTTTGCAGCGCCCAGATCCTTCATAGCAAACTGCTTCGACAATTTTTGCTTCAAGTTTATGATCTCTTGCATGTTTGAGCCTGCAACGAGCATGTCATCAAGTACAACAATAAAATAATGAAAATTGTCGAACCTCTTGATGTAGCAACAATGATCTGCTTGGCATCTGGTAAAACCACTGCTACTCATGAAACTATCGAACTTCTTGTACCACGTCTAGGAGCTTGTTTTAAACCCAAGCTCTTCTCAACCTGCATACCAGGTTTTTCTTGCCTGCCTCTATGAAGCCTTCTGGCTGCCTCATATAGATCTCTTCCTCCAAATCACCATGAAGGAAAGCTGTCTTTACATCTAACTGCTCGAGATGTAAATTCTCCGCAGCTACAATTTTCAAAACCAGTCTGATTGTAGACAGTTTTACGACTGGAGAGAAAATTTCATTGTAGTCAATACCTTCTTTTTGCTGAAAACCTTTGACAACCAATCTTGCTTTGTAGCGTTTTCTCCCATCATCTTCTTCTTTGATCCTGTAAATCCACTTGTTATGGAGCGCTTTCTTGCCTGGTGGTAATTCAGCTAATTCCCACGTCTGATTTGACATAAGCGAGTCCATCTCATCTTTCATGGAAGACTCCCACTTGACTGAATCCTCCACCTGCATTGCTTCATCATAGCACTCTGGTTCACCATTGTCAGTCAGCAATAAATAGTGCAAAGAAGGAGAATACCGTTGGGTTGGTTTAGGAATTCTGGAGGAGCGTCTCAGTTCTGGTGTGCCTGGTTCTTCTTGAACTGCTTCAGGATTGATCTGAACATCATTTCCAGAAATCTCCTCGAACTCAGCAAATTCCTTTGTTTCAGCTTCGGTATTACTTGATTCTGCGGTTGACCTATCTTTGTACATCACATTTTCATTGAAAATGACGTCTCTGCTTCTGATGATCTTCCGATTTTCATAGTCCCAAAACCGGTAACCGAACTCATCACCGCCATAACCAACAAAAGTATATATGTTGGACTTAGCATCAAGCTTACTTCTTTCAGCAGAGTCTATGTGTACATAAGAAATACAACCAAACACTCTTAAGTGTGAAAGGTTTATTTCTTTCTTGCTCCAAACTTCCTCTGGTATTCTGCCATCCAAAGGAACTGAGGGCCCACGGTTGATCAAGTAAGCTGCAGTGTTGATTGCTTCAGCCCATAGAAATTTGGGCAAGCCGGCATGTATCCTCATTCTTCTGGCACGTTCATTCAGAGTTCTGTTCATGCGCTCTGCTACACCATTATGTTGCAGTGCCTTGGGAACTGTTGTCTCCATCTTGATCCCATTGTTTGCGCAGAAATCTCTGAATCTACTGTCTCTGTACTCTCCTCCATTGTCAGACCTCAACCGCTTGACTTTCAAACCAGTCTCATTTTCCACCATGGCCTTCCATTTTCTGAAGATATCGAAGACTTCTGATTTCTTCTTCAGAAAATAAACACACCTTCCTTGTTGAATCATCGATGAAGGTGACATAATATAATGAGCCTGCAAGAGATGGAACTGGGGATGGTCCCCATACATCAGTATGAACCAATTCTAACCTTTCTGTCTTGGGTTGTCTTGCCAATCTTTGCAAAACTGACTTTCTTTTGTTTGCCAAAGATGCAATCCTCGCATAGTCCGACATCTACATTCTTTAGATCCGGCAGCTTCCCTTTTGACAAAAGTGTCTTCATCCCTTTCTCGCTCATATGGCCAAGCCTTTGGTGCCATAGGTTTGATTTTCCATCAGCATCTGCTACTGCAATGATATTCTCTAAATTTGAGGTTACATAGAGAGTACCAGTCTTCTTACCACGAGCAATGACGAGTGCTCCTTTGGTAATCTTCCATTCACAGCCTGAAAAGGTTGTGCTATATCCTTCTCCATCAAGCTGTCCAACAGAAATCAGATTTCTTTTGAGGCCAGGAATATGTCTCACTCCTGTCAGCTTCCAGGTGGTCTGGTTTGGCAACTTTAGTCGGATGTCTCCTTTTCCGACGATCTTTAAGGTTTCATCATCAGCAAGATGAACCTTCCCAAAATCACCACTGACATAGTTCTCCATGATTTCTTGGCATGGGGTGGAGTGGAAAGATGCCCCTGAATCCAAGATCCATGATTCAATCGGACTGTTGACGCTTAGAATCATGGCATCACCTGTCTCCTCTGTCACGTTGGCAGATTCCTGTGCACCGGTATCTTTCTTCAGTGCTCGGCAATCTCTTTTAAAGTGACCTTTCTTGCCACAATTATAACAGGTAAAATCTTTCTTTCCCGTTCTAGATTTTTCCCGTCTGGATTTGATCTGCCACGATTTGAATATCTTTCTGAAGTTCTTCCTCTAGACTCCGTGTGCAAGGCTGAGGAGGTTGATGCTTCACCGATTCTCTCCGTCGAATTTCTTCACTCAGTACCAGATCTCGAACATCGTCGAATTTTAATTTGCTGTTTCCCGACGAACTGCTGACTGCTGTAACAGTAGCATTCCAACTGTCTGGTAGAGATGATAAGAAAATTAAAGCTCGAACTTCATCATCGAACTCAATTTCCACTGAACTCAACTGGGTTGTGATTGTGTTGAGTTCATTTAGGTGTTGTGCCACCGATGCCCCTTCCGTCATCCGCAAATTGAATAATCGCCTCATCAAATGAACTTTGTTTGAGGCCGATGGCTTCTCGTACATACTGGAGAGAGCCGCCATAAGACCCGCCGTGGTCTTTTCCTTTGCTATGTTAAAAGCAACATTGCGGGATAACGTCAGTCGGATAACTCCGAGGGCTTGTCTGTCGAGAAGAGCCCAATCTTCATCCTTCATGCCCTCTGGTTGCTTTCCTGAGAGAGGTTGATATAGATTTTTCTGGTACAAAAAATCTTCAATCTGCATCTTCCAAAAGCCAAAGTCCGCACCATCGAACTTTTCAATTTTCACCTTCCCTTCGTCTGCAGCCATCGCTCCCACTCGAATCTGGCTTCGTTTGGATCGTTTCTGACAATTCTTGCGAATCACCGTGTATTAGAACACCACCGTCGACAAACTCGTATTGTCGACCGAATTTCACTATTCACAAAATTCATTATTCACGTGAATAGTAATGAATAGTAACCTCGCAGAAAATTTGACAAAATTCACAACCAAAAGCTCTGATTACCAGTTGTTAGGAAAATAAACCGAGTACAAGTAATTTTCCTATAACCAGATTAGTGAGAATGCGAAATAAAAGCGGAAAAATAATACCCGAAAATTGATAACGGAGTTCAGCCAATTGTGCTTACGTCTCCGGGCTGCTGTAGATCTTTTACTAAGAGAGAAAATTTACAGGTGTTTACAAAACACTCACTACTCACAAGAAAGCTCTCTAGTATAGGAAGAAAGAAATGTTTTGGGATGATTTTGAAGCTAAATGGGTAAGGGTATTTATAGTAGAAACTTAGGGACTAATCTTTGAAAATACCCTAAAGTGCAATGACTAAAGTGAATTTACCCATTCATATTTTCAACAAACATCTACCAAAATTTTACCAAACTTTGAAAAACATTTTTTAAAGAAACATTTACCAAACTTTGAAAAAAACATTTTCCAAAGTTGGTTGCCAAACTTTGAAACTTTTAACAAAATATATTCAAAATTATGATGTTTTAAAACACATTAAGTGATTTTGTAATAAAAGATAATGTTATTCTCTTTTGAAGATTCAAGTTAAACAATTACATGTGACAATGTTTTTTACCTTCAACTGACCAACACACCATTCATCAGACCAACTTCAAATAATTATGGGGGAATTAACTGCTCTAACTCCATCGATGGTTGAGGTGGTTGAAGATAACAGTTTGTGGCTTCAACTGCAATCAATTAGGTGACTGCCATGGAACAACTCAGCTCCACCATCACTTTGAAAACTGCACGGCTCAGTGCTTTCTTCTCATGGCTCAACCTACCGCCATTGTTACGGTTCTTCCCTTTGGAGGGAAATGAAAACTTTAATTAAACATTATGAATCTATCTATCTATATTTATATCCATTAAAACAAGGAGTTGAGTAAATATTGAATACCATGGCTGTGAGTCGGGGACCAATCACAGGGTTCCTGTTAAAATAAAATTTTGCATGTTCCCTTTTTATTCATCGCTTCATTATTATTCTTTCACCACTTAGCCACGTTGCTTAGCTATGGTGGTTTGTATAAATAGCTACAACAATAAGATCAGCCAATTGTTTGAGCTATATAGTTACCTCTCGCTCAAAGACAAACAAAACGATAACATTGCAACTATTTCCCCTTTTCTTCTTCTGCTTGATCAGTGTCTGCAATTGTAGATTCCATGGCGATAATGGAGACGATAATGGCGGTTGGAAAACCGCCCATGCCACCTTCTATGGTGGCGATGCCACCGGCACAATGGGTGAGTTTCAATCTTTTAGACTATAGATAGAAATGTCAGGGCTATATGTGTATAATTTGCGATGTTTGTTTTATAGGGGGAGCTTGTGGTTACGGGTACTTGTATAGTCAAGGGTATGGAACGAGCACAGCAGCTTTGAGCACTGCACTTTTTAACAATGGCTTGAGTTGCGGTGCCTGCTACGAGCTTCGGTGCAACGATGATCCTAAATGGTGCTTTACTCGAACCATAACCGTGACCGCCACTAACTTTTGTCCCCCTAACTACGATTTATCAAGTGACAATGGAGGGTGGTGCAATCCCCCTCGTGAACACTTCGATCTGGCCGAACCGGCTTTCTTGCAGATCGCCGAATATCGAGCCGGGCATCGTCCCAATTCTCTTCAGAAGGTCATGAACATCAACTCAATTCAAATCATCACTCACTCATCTTATCTTCAACAGTACTTAGCTGTTTTTTTAGCCTTTGCTTGCAGGGTGTCATGTGTGAAATGGGCATTCATACTTCAACTTGGTTCTGATAACCAACGTGGGAGGTGCCGGGGATATAACGTCGGTGTCCATCAAGGGTTCGAAAACAGGGTGGCTTCCGATTTCCCGAAACTGGGGCCAAAACTGGCAGAGCAATGCCTACCTCAACGGCCAAAGCCTCTCTTTCAAAGTGACAGCCAGAGATGGCAGGACTATTACAAACAACAATGTAGTGCCTGGTGGTTGGCAATTCGGACAAACATTTGAAGGAGGCCACTTTTAAGACAATATGGTTTTACATTATTAACAACAGGAATTGACGAATTTCATGTATAAAGCACATGAGTGTTTTATGCAGAGGTAGCAAGGTGGCGCCCGCTGGCTTTATGTGTGAAATAGGCGAGCAAGTGCCTTAGCCTATATATATACTTTCAATATATGAATTGTGCCCTCCAACTCTTAAGTTTGGAATTTGGAGGGAATATCCATAAGATAGTGTCTGAAATTTGTTTGTTGATTCACCATAGTATTATGGTTTTGCTGATTATAATACTTTTATAATCTATAAAATAATTTGTGACTTCTCTTCCAAATGTTTTTCTTACGAATTTGCTGGGCAAAAATATTAAAGCGACATGAAGATAGAATAAGACACGTGCAAGAGAAGAGATTTAACATGATTTGTCCGTATCTATCTATACATATGAGAGAAATAATAATCCACTATAAATGTAGAGGACACAAATATATTGAATTCTCTTATATCCTAAAACCCAATATATATCCCAAAATCAATGTATCTCAAACAACTCTTCTAACATGTACTACAAGTTATTTCTACAACATAAACCCTAAATATTATAGAGATAATAAAATAGATTATATTTCTTCAAAATAATTCTCTTGTAATCCTAGACACAATCAAGGACAAACACATGATTTTATGTTAAATGACAAACTTATAAAATTTTAGGATGAAATAATATATCATCAATAAAATAAATATAAACAATTTTTTTAAAATTAAAAAAAATCTACATTAATCTCCCTCATTCCATCCATATGCACAACTTCTATTGATTTGTGCAGGGAAGCTGCATTTCCATTTCCACTCTCCCCCGTTTTCTCGTAACCAGGAATTACAATTCCAATTCCCCTTCAGCCACCTCGATCAGAACCATACCTAGTTGACCAAATAACCTCAGCTAAAAGACCCAATTCATTGCTGCTTTCCCCTTCAACCGTTCATTGCTTTCAGACTCGGTCTTCGAAAGAAAAGAAATTTACTTTAACAACTTTCACCTAAAGTCTAATCTGAATGTTTCATCTATGTGATCCCTCGAGCTAAAAACAGAGTAACAATAACATACAAACATAAGAAGCTTACTTTGTCGCATCAACTGCAAAGACCAAAGCTTTGAGTTTTGATTTAGTCTATAAATATATGTTAATTGTTCTTCGTCCCCTCCGATGATTCGGGTCTTCTATTGCCATTATTATTTGTTAAAACGTTACATCAAGGTGATGGGATGACTGTTAATGCACCACTTAGCATGGTCTTGAGTTCAAAAGTTGAGAGAAAAAACAAATGTTAGGATAATATTATTCTTTTCCTCGTACTCTGCAAAATCTGCCATGCTTGACTTGTTTCTGCCCCTTAATATATTTACTTGCTTTTATTTTCATTTCTCATCCTTTTCTATTCCCCTTTTTCTTTCATGCCAGAACACAGTATTTGAGGTTTTGTGAAAAACAAAAGTTATTATTCCATTGTTCATGGTACCCTTTCTTCTTTGCTAATTTGACCTATTGTTTATCCTGTGAAGTGCAATATTGACTACTTTCAGAGACGGTTCTTCTTATGCAAATCATAACATGATAAAATAGTGTTTAACCATCTTATACAAGGGCTCCACGACTCTCTTTTTTTTTTTTATTATTGTGAATAGTTAGATCAATAAATAATTTAGCAATCTAGCTCGGCCACATTGGCATTTGCTTTTAGTCTTTAAGCTGTCAGTGTTCCGCAATTTCTCAATAAAAATGATATATTCTACGTACCTACCTGAAAAAAAATTGTTAAAAAAGCTGTCTGTCAACCAATTTTTGTATTGTGAAGTCAATGATCAGTGGTAAGTAGGCTGGTTTCTAAATCATCTTTGCCAGCTGCAGCCGTGGTCAGCTCGTCGGCCCGTTTAGCCTGGTGCTTCCAATCGGTTCGAACGAATGTGTACATCATCATGCACACACATGAAATTTGTGCTGCAAGAAGCCCAAACCATAGACCTTTGAACCCGAATTTGAATTTGAAAGTGGTGAGAATTGCAACCGGCAATCCAACGATGTAAAACGAACACAAATTTATGCGAACACCGTCTTTAGGACGTGCAGTCCCCGTTAAGACACCACAGGCCACTGTTTGCGGAGAGTTGCCGACTTCACATAGCCCCAAAATTGGAAGCACAGTGGATATCAAGTCGATAATTTGTGGCTCATCGGTGAACAACGTCCCCCACCATGATCTCAGGACTATCATGGCAACAAAGGACAAGCCGCCGAATGCGAAGGCCATGAGGAGGCCGATGTTGGCCGCCAGATGGGCGCGGGATGGTCGACCAGCACCCAAAGCCTGACTAACTCTTGTAGAAATGCAGCTGCTTAGGGAGTAGGGGAAATTATATAACAACCCTGTTGTTTGAATGAGGATGCCCATCGCTGCAACGCTAGCCTTAGGGTTGTCGAGTAAACCGCAAAGGAACAACATTATCTCGTACCACCAAAATTCCAAGCACACCGATATGAGACTAGGCAGCGCTAGCGCTAACAACGGCTTCCAACCTTGGAAGATGGAGACAATGGTAACACCATGCCATGGTTTCAAGGGAGTTTCCGACACGACCATATAGATTATGAGTCCGAGGTTTAGATTTAAAGTAGTACAACCAAGAGCCAATGCAACCCCTTTCACCCCTAACTGAAAATACATGGTGAAAAGGTAGTTGATCAAAGGGTGTAAAAGGACAGCGCAAATAGCAGAGACTGTAAGAGGGGTGGTTATGCCCTGGGATTTTAGAAATGTCCTTATTGGATGCAGAAGAGACTGAGCTATCAGTTCAGGGATGAAGGCAAGCAAGAAAACTTTGGCGATTTTCGTGGCATCGGGATCTTGGCCGAGGCGTAGAAATATGGGTTCAACGTATAGCCAAAGGATGCAGATAGGTATGCAAGTGAGTAGCAACAGATACAATGTTCTATGAAAAGTTCGGCTGAGCACTGAATATCTTTTTGCTCCATAGGCTTGGCCGCAAATGGGATCCATTCCAAAGGAGAGACCTTTGATGACAGAGATACCTGTAATGTTCCCAAACCCCATTGCAAGTGACCCTCCTGCAAGCTCTTCCCTGCCTAAATGGCTAAGGAAAAACATGGAAATAATTGATCTGGATTGTATGAGCAATGATAAAATCATTATTGGGCCTGCAATCTTTCCAATTGACACCACTTCATTTCCCACCTGCATGGAATTCAACTTCATTCATTGGCTTCCTTTTGACCATATTTTCAAATCTCCTAAGCTTCCTATCAAAACCCCATTTTTGTGGATTTTTTAATTTCACATGGCCAGCTTAGGGGGGAAATGAAAAGAAATTTAAAAACACCCACTTTTAAACTTTTGGTTATTATTAAAAAGTGCTTGTGGCCAATGAAAGATTTATTATAGTACCTAGCTATTCTATACAACAAAATTTCAGTACATCAACTTTATTGAAAAGTTAAGTCTTTTAAGGAAAAGGAAAGTTAAATTCCCCACAACATAATTAGTTTAGACTAGTCTGTCAATGCATTAAAGGGTTCCACTATACAACATTTTTATTGTTCAATTCTCAGACAAAAATTACTTGTATGAACCAAAAAAAAGTGGTCTTTTATATTCTTAAAATAACCTAAAAAGTTGACTTTATGGAATGAAGTATAGCCTCCCGTGCCACCGGGCATAGCAAATGCTGGCGGTGCTGAATTTTGATGAAATAAAACAATGAAGATGAATAATGCTCAAGCGTCAGATCCTTGTAATTATCTTGGAATTTAGAAGAAATAAAGAAGCAAAAGAAGGAATATTTGCAAAGCTCATGTGGTCACTTTCACAGTACAAAACACAAATATTAACCTCAAAAGCCTGAAAAATGCAAATGCTTATACATTGCATTGTACGTAAATGGTTTCTATACACAGGTTGACCATCTCTTTCATATGAACCCCCCCCCCCAAAAAAAAAGGAATTAAAACAACATGATTTTCAACTAAAACGAAAAAGAAAAGAAAACAACTCAAATTGCTTTCCTTTTTCTCACAACTCTCAGCTTAGTTATCTTATCTGCGAATGCAATAAATTAATGAAATTCACAAACTAATCCGACTAAAAAGTTGATGATTTTATGAAACTCATTTGGTGCTGGTGATGAGTAAAGAAACATAGAGGGGGAGGGGGGAGCTTGCCTGGTTCAAAGGCTCTCTTGCCTCGTTGAATGGCAGCCTCCTGAGAAGCTGAGGGATTTGAATCTTTCGTAAAAACGTAAGAATGTATTTATCTTCATCACTCGTTTCCTCATTGTAGTTCCTCAAAAGCTGGTGCTGATGATCACCATTTAAACCTTTTTCCCCAGATTCAATATCACTTCCTGAGCACATGTTGTGTATACCAAAGAGCAGATACTAATTGGCCAAAAACCAAACCTACAGAAAGAACCAAAAAAACTGAAAACTCAATCCTCAATCTCAGAACCAGCAGTTGAAAAGTGAAGAAATACACAGTCTTTACATATTTATCTTAATCTAATTAATTTTTTATTAGCCTGTACGTGTAGTATTGCAAACACTTTGAATTATATATTTGCACTCCACTTGAACTTAACAATGACTGGCAAAATAATTAAATCCAAAACCATTTTTTAATTAAAGTAGAACGAGCAAAGTAAGAAATTAATATAACACTTTTCACATTATTAATATTAATATTAAATCTGATCATTTAAAATTTATGTGAATTTTAAAATTTCGTGTCTAAGTTTCACTATGTATAAATATTATGTGTCAACATATAACTTTATGATAATTTAAATTTTATTACGTGGAATCTATTAAATGGTCTCAAAGGTAAAATAGAGTGTTATTCTTCCTAGAGGATATGGGTTCCGACAACTATGTTGGTAGAGTGTATATGTGTTGTCAATGGCTAAAAAAGATTCTAAATAAATACTTTCTTATAATCATCTCATACAATTAAAAAAAATCACATTGTGTATAATACTATATAAATTTAGTATATTTTAGGTCCAAAAACATTTTAATTGTAATTATAGTTACCAATATTATATTAATTTGTAGATATAATTTCATACTTATATTTATAACACTTTAAAAATGAAAATTAAAATTAAAAGACCAATGTTTTATCAAGAAATTTTAAAATCATTTTGTAAATAAAACTATTTTATTTAAAATGAAAAAATAACAATGAAGAAACTGATCAAGTGGTTACTTAATAAGGTTTTGAGTAAGGTTGTATTATATATATTTTTGGTATAACCACAGGTTTACGTTTAGTAATCGATTAATTTGGATTACATGTATTGTAGAGATAAGGGCAACTCATCCAACCCAGTTTGCTCCCTTTGTAAACTTCAGGATTCGAACTTTTAATCTTGCTTAAAGGATCTAGTGTCTCGTCTCACTTGACCAACTAGTTGTTGGTATGGTTGTATTATATATCACTACTTATTTGATTTTCCTTAATAATATATAAATGTCGATAATTATTAAATTTGCAATTGAAAGTTTTATAGTACGTGAGAATTAAAATAATAATAATAAAATGATGTTGATGGTCTTGAATAATAGTTTAAAGAAATAAATGAGGATTGTGAGTGGGATTTTTGTTTAATTGATTACATTATATAATATATGTCATATCAAATCATCTTCTTAGCCAAAAACCTTTTCAGGCTTTAAAATTAAGCTTAAAAATAAAAGAGAGAATAACGCAAAAGCAATGGGCCAGTTAATTGCTAATCAAACTACTAAAACATTAACTTCTTAATCACTCACTTTAATTCTTGACTTCTTTCCACCTAAGATCCATTTATAACGCCAACTATTTTTAATATTTTTTTTTATTAAAAATGGCTCTACCGTTCTCCTAAATGCTGTATATAAACAAAGTATCATTTTAATGTCGGCTTTAAAATAAATATTTTAAGATTTTTTTTGTTACGGAAAGTAAGCTATAAAAGTTATGTAAAATATGAATATTTTTACCGTAAAATGAAATATTATGAGTCAAAATACTTTAAAAATAAAGAATAAAGGTTAAAGTGAAAATTTAATCAAACGTTTAAGATTAAAATTCTCTAATAAGAATATGAGTCAAAATGACTATTTTAAACATATATTATCTTGTATTCAACCCGATTTATAAAAATAATAATTATATCAAGTAATAAAGAAAAGTTAGGTCCAAACTTTGTAAAGATGGATGGTTGTATTTAAGTTAGAAGGGATATGCTTCGGCTTTTCATTGGTTGTTGTTAGCTTCAATTATTTGTGGGCTTAAGAAACAAAATGATGGGTGATAATGGCCATGTTCAACTAAATTGTTTAGTTCCCTAAAATTTGAAAGAAAAAAAAGTGTTATGTCTCGAAACTTGAAGGAGACAAGTTTAGAAGTTTTGTCTTAGGCTTATGGGGATTTTCAGAGATGAACCAATTAGAAGTGATGAAAATCTGTTTAGTTAGGTTGGTTGGTGGTATCTTTAGACAACATGTGTTCCCCATATTCCATTGAATACAGACATTTATGAACCTTGAAATTGAATTATTTCAATAATTACAAACGTCCTAATTTGTCTTAAACCTTGTACTTTGCTTTGGGGGTGTTGCTTTTGGGATGCAGGCATGCCATGCCACCTCTGCTGCATATTCATGGATCGGGACCATCTATCAGCAAGGGATTTCTTTCTTCACCTTAATTTGTACGAAAGATGCCCCAACGAACCAACCGGTGTTTCAGCATATGCTCAACAGTTTACTCACTTGCTGCTTCTATTTCTTTATCACTGTGTTTTTTGTCTTTCAAAACTAGGGCACTAACTATACTCAGTTTGGTTTGTATGGTAGGAACCAAGCATATTCTCCATTCATTTGGATTATCAAAATGTATTTAAAAAATTATTTTTTTAAGATAATGAGTTAGGTTCTTCAAATAAGATCGAGGATTCAAATTCTGACTTTATGAATAAAGAAAATTTAATTGGGAGAGTCGTTCTTCTATTGTGTTTAATTTGTATCAACCAATCGATGAATCATAAATTGGTAATTATATAAAAAAATATTATTAAAAGTATTTTTTTATATAAATTTTTTCAAAAAAATACATTTTATATAAATATTATTATTAAAAGCTTTTCTTGGTCTAACATTATCTAATAATATTTTAAAAGGAAAAAAACTAAAATTTTGAGGGAGCATAGGATTAGAAACTTAATGGAATTGTATGGGACAAAAGGTTTTTGTTTTTCTTTCAAGGTATAGAGGTGTGTAGGAAATTTGTCTTTTTAAGAGCATGATGTGTTTTGTCAATGTATAGCACTATAACCTACAGCTATTGGTTACTCAGCCTCCGTTTGTAGTTTTATGTTCAGTCCTTTTCCATGTGTATAAGCCTACTTAATTGCCATTAATGAAAATTTAAACATGTTTTGAAACTTACGAGGGTGTGCTAATCTTTTGTTGGGTAAATGCTTTAATAATTTCTATTCATCATTCAAATCCAAGATAATAAAAACTAATTTAAAGTACTTGAGAAAATTATTTAATTTACAAATCTATATGGTCTTCACATGATTAGGTTTTTTTCTCCCCCCCCCCCAAACCACCACCACTTTTTTTTGTGGTCTTTCAGCAATTGAAGAAAGGCTTTTGAGCTATCAAAAATGAATAAATATAATCCATGAAGATATGTAAGTTTGCTGTATAATTAAATCATTGTATAATCCTTTCATGTGAGCTTAACTTAGCTTTAAACACATTTTAAGAAGTGTTTTCTTAAGCTAAATAATTGTTTAATTAATCCTTTTGGTTGTAGAGAGTGATTGAAAGGCTGGACAAGACATTGGGTCTTCAGCAATTGATTGAAATATACCTTCAAGGAAAGCCTCAAGGTTGAAACTTAATCTCATGGTGAATTGTTAGTTGGTTTTAAAGGTTACGTGGCTTGCAAAATGATCAAACTAAGCTCTAATATTGTGATAATGGGCTTCTCTCACAAAAGATTTTGCGATAAACCCAAATTCATGATGATGTTGAATTTATATATTAAGTTGTTACTGGCTAACCGGTTAAGGACAATATTATATACAATCATAAACTACATTGAACCATATAAATTTCCATCATAGGTTGTAAATAATTTAAAACCTTTATATAAAGGTGAAAAACAATTACATTAAATAAGTAGAGAGAACATTT